TTTTACCGTTTCGCCCCCTTCCCTAGTGACCATCCAAACATCGCTGCTGCCCTTACCGACGGCGCGGCCTATCATCATCCTGGTCCCATTGATGAACGTTACAGACTTACTGAACCCGGCTCAAGCGGACAGTACGCCGTCAGTGGTCTGTTTCCCTGCACCGTCATTGGAGAAGCTGCCTCCTGCTATGTCGCCTCTGGAAAGAGCCCTTGGACACCTACGACGGGCGAAAAGAGAGCTCGAGGAGCTTGCAGAAGATCTCTCGCAGATCGTCCTCATGGGTTCGTTCCGTTGCTGTGATCCAAGCCCATCGCTATTCTAATCCCAACTGTCTACATCTTAGCGTACACCGCAAACGGATCTCTCTCAGCTGATCCCGAGTTGCATGCTGCTGTCACCGACCACGGTGGCATGGGCATCCTCACACCGCCGTTCACTCCAGTCGGTGTTGCCGACACATTTGCCTCGGTGAGTTTGAACCGTCTGGCCGGCACACACTGAACCCTCAGCGTAACGCACACAACTCACGCGATATTTCTCCCTTCTCCCCCCTTATTTCCGATTCCTTCCACCTTCTTCAATTATCCACGTGTCTTGCGACCTTCGACAATCTCTTCTTGATCGGAAAACGTGGATCGTGGATAATCGCATGGCTCTTCCCATGGCATCATCATGCGACGTTTCCTTTACATGATTTTTCGCGATCTCGCACCTGATAGGCGCTCAAGGTTCCAGCAAGTCAGTTTACAACGTCCGCCGAAATGGCGAACGCGACTTTTGCCAGCCTTGCACAATACAATATTTCTACCACTCCGGTTCGATCATCACCTCTTTCCGTTCCAGGGGTGGCCATGCGACCGCTTCTGATCCCTGTTTCGCTCCAGTCCACCCCTCTCGCTTCGTCTTCACGTCATGATAAACCTTTACCACCCCTCCCCCCTCCTTCGCCCGAACAGCCGGAGCTGCCTCTCACGCCAATCACAGGCACGCGGTCTAGCTTTGCGAAAGCTGAATTGTTTGGCGATCGACATCGAAATGTCTCAATCGCAGAACAAAGGGCCCAAGCGGGCTCGTCAATATCAATCGGCGGTCCCAGCCCCCTTCAGCCCTTATCTGACCAATGGGCATCGAGCCCAGAATCACAACACATGCTATCGACAGATTCCAGAACAACACCGCCATCGACTGTATTGACGCGACCATCACACGTCAATGGCACCCCGGGACCTGCTTCTTCTACTTCTCCCTCTTCTTCCTCCACCCTCTCGCCACCTTCTCTTCTCTTTGCGATACATCCGCGACCCACAGTTCCTCTTGACGAGCAGAAGCCTCTACCGCCACTATCACCTCCTTCAGATTTGAATTCCAAACACGATCCTTCATCATCAAGCAATTATCCGCCACTCGTTACCTCTACATCTATGGACGTTGTTCCCACTTCCACTTCAATACCCCATCCTTCTGCACATCCAGTATACCCTGATCCTATAGCGGAGTACTACTCAGGAGCAAGACGGAGAAGTGTTGATACAGGCGGGCTGTCATTAGCCCTGAAAGCTGGCGATGTCGCTGGTGACGGTTTATTCAGTTTGGGAAGAGGGATTCATGTGGCTCTTGGGCTGAGTAACGTCGCGGCAGGATGGGGCTGGGGTGGATGGGATGCACCGGAAGCAGTCGATGGACCTTTGTGAGTATTGAAACTGCATCGTTATTCTCTTGCATCAAACCTGGCTTACTAAAGTCCTTGCGCTCAGATATGCCGAGCTCTTGTGCGATATGTTTGTCCATACACATAACACAACTGAGGTGGCCCAACAAAAACTACTGTATGCATATAAAATCGAAAAATTTTGGTGTCCGCCCCTAGCTAATATCCTGATTCCTATACTCAGGCCTTCGCCTTCGGTATCTCCTCAACGTCGGGAAGAGCTCATACGCAAAGTGTCGCGATGGAAGTTTGAGCCACATCTCTTGACACCGGACGAGCTGCTCGAGTCAGCATGTATACTCTTTGAGGCTCTCTTCAAAGTGGAGGGCATGGCAGAGGAGACGGGTATCACTGCATCTCAACTCAGACAATTCCTCCATGCCGTCCGGAAGATCTATCATGAGCAGAATAAGTATCACAACTTCCAGCATGCCGTCGACGTTTTCCAGGCCGTGTACTCTTTCCTTGCGCAAGCGGAGTGTGTTCCTCCTGTAACGATCCTTTTGGGTGATGCTCATAAAGCCACGGAAGGTTCCCCGATCCCGGATCTCGCATCGACAGCGGACGCCGAGGCAGAGGATCACTCCTCGACGCCAACACCGCAGCGGAGCTCGACACGTTCTTCTCCCAGCGTTCCCACCGCTGCCACTTGGAGTAGGTCGGGGCGTCGGACTACGCTTATCCAGAAGGTGTTGGAGAATCGAGATCTGCTTGTGGTATGCTTTGCGGCCGTGGGACATGATGTGGCGCACCCAGGATTAAGCAACGCGTTTCAGGTAAGTTTTCTTGGGTATCCCTTGCTAGAATGATCATCTCTGACCGATAGTGGGTCGTAGAAAAACGCTCGTACGCCACTATCAATAGTTTACGACGACAAGTCTGCGCTTGAGCAAATGCACTGCCAGCTGCTTCTGAACCTTATGCGGAAACATGGACTGGGTCACCTTATCGATACTGCGCCACTTGCAAGGACGAAGCCTCGCGCCGATTCTCTTGGCGAAACATCCGGTCTGCCGCCACCGTTGCGTAGCACGAAGTCATCCGCTCCACTTAAAGGACGTCTGGAAGCGTCGCCTGCTTCTGCTTTCCGGCAGCTTCTGGTGCAGACCGTGCTCATTACGGACATGGGTCTGCATTTTGAATGGATAAACAAGCTACGCACGTTGGCGAGCGATGTGGAGAAGCATGGTGTTGACGCCGTTTCAGGCAGGGAAGACGTGAAGCAGATCGTATGTCAAGCGCTCATCAAGTGTGGTGACATTAGCAATCCTGTGAGCACGTAACACGTGATGTCTATATCCTGTGTTCTTACCCATGTATTTGGACTTCTTCAGACGCGCCCTCATGCTGTTTCGGAACATTGGTCGACAGCTCTCCTTCAGGAGTGGTCGTGCCAGGCCGTTCTTGAGAGAGAGCTCGGTCTTCCAGTCTCGGTGGTCGCTTCTGCAAATGAGATCGTGCAGGCGAAAGGGCAGGTTGGGTTTATTGACTTGTTCACGAAGCCCTTGTTTGATACGACCGCCTCTGTTATCCCTTGTGAGTTTACTTTTCATTTTCATTCAAGTCCTCCTTGCTGACGGGTCTTCTTAGCCTTCCAAGTATTCGCGGACCAAGGTGACATCAACCGGGCGCTGTGGCAGAAACGCCTTGACGGTCTTATCGCTGCTGCTGGCCCGGAAGGCGTTGAAGCGCCTTCTATACCCCAAGTCGTCCCCCCTTCTTCACGCCTCAGTGCCACCCAGGACCAGCACTATCGTTCGGTCTTCCCACTTTCCCTCCCTCCATCTCTCCTCGCTCCTTTACCGATGCCATCTCCCGATGATGGTACACCCTTGAAGAAATGGCCGGAATTATCGACAGAAGACAATGGGTCGGAATCTAATACCCCGACGCTCCAGCAGCCGGTGAAGGCATCGACCCATCGTGGAACTCGTGCGGCGTCGTCGGTTTCCAGTATCTCGTCGGCAACCATGTCATCGTCACCGTTCTCACCCGGGGCTGGTGGGGACTCTATGTCGACTGCTGAGTCATCACCAGCATCCCAAGCACAGTCGCTAGCAGGAGATGTCATCACTCTGAGCCGGTTGTCACAACCCGGATCACAGCCTGAGGTTCCGACGACGCCGATGCGCGCCGCTTTCAATACAAGTGTCCGTCGCAAAATGAGCTTCCATCGCCAATCATTGGACATCCAGAGCGTAATCCGTGCAAAGGGTGAGCAACCCCCTCCTTTGCCGTCACAACTTGGAACAGATCGGTCAGGACGGTAGCCTCCTCTTTCGGTTTCTTTCTTTCGATTCTTTATTCCCGTTCTTTTATCTTTCGCATTGCTTTCTTCCGTTCTTTGCTTTCATTGTGGTTCCAACTTGACGTGTTTCTTGCCTGTCCTTTTCGCATTGTTGTACTTGTGAACATTCCTTACGAACTTTGCTGCTTTTGTCATATCTGTGCGGTTATCACATGCTGTAGCCTCCATGTAATAGTACCCCAATCCATTGCTTTCAAGTGCCAATGACATTATTGATTCTCTGTGTTGCGGGCAAGTTCCGGAACCTTCGGTTAATCGAACTAGATAAGATAAGCTGGCTTGGGTAGACTGATATGGTAACATGTTGCTGCTACACCTCAAGGTGCTGCGCCAGCTTCCAAACCAGCCTCGTTCCCTATCAAAGAATATGCATCAGACAATCGTCGAATGCCTTGTCAAGTCGTCAACGTACATTGCTTGGCACACGACCCCCATAATCACATGCCCTCCCGCAAGGTTTCCACTCTCGCTTTCGCTGCGTTGCGTCTCTCTGTCGCACCCTTAACCTCCTCATTCTCCGTCTCTAAAGTTTGTTTCATGGCATGGAGCTCGGCTTTCGCGGTCTGAAGTTCCTTTTCTTTGGTATCCGCCTGATGATAAAGTGTAGTCATATCTTGTCGTCTTTTCACAGCCCTATTGGCCTGACCAAGCGCAGCTTGAGCAACAATGCTCTCCTGGCGCCGTATCGCCTCGAGCTCTTTTTGGAAGATGCTTTGGAGTCCGTCCGAGGTGGCTTTGTGAAAAGCGGAATTGTGTGGCATCATGTCGCTCATTGACGAAGGATGTGGAGCTGGACTCTGAGGGACCCAGTTAAAGATCTTATGAATGGCGGTGGACAATATGCCGTACGCACTGAGGTCTTGGTAGTAACAGTCGAATCTTCGAAAGAGGCGGCGGTCTGTGCCTTATGTATCACATGCGTCGAACCCCGAAACTCTGAGCGCCCAAAAAAAAATTTGGTCCAGAGAATGCCAAAAGCGAAGTTCCCTTCGATCGGGATCGAACCGATGGCCTTGGGATGACAGAATAATCTGTTGTATATCGATTACAGTCCCACGCTCTTCCAGCTGAGCTACAAAGGGGTTGATGTTTTCTTATGAAATTAATAATATATCAGTGTTTCAATATAGAGACAATTTAGGGAAATGAACTTTGATGCCTGTGCACCCAAATTATACTCCATCAGGATTCACCTGGAACAGAGCCAGGATGACAAGTTCGGTCTAAGAACCCTCTCAAGCTGTCGGGCATGCTCAATCATGCTGGGAAGAAAACTCCCGGTCTAAGTTCACGTACTTCTGATGACACGGTACGTGTGAGGTTTAAGGTAGGTCATGAACCAGGTCCTAGGTCTATCGGGTGCGCTGCCAGTTGGAACCATAAGAGCGATGGTGGTCCCAGCATGATGGTCTGTCATATCACCCAGGATATAGACGGTAGTGTGTCAATGGTTTACCATTGAGACTGGGATCCAACTGCTGTTGTTGATCAGTGGTTTCAACTTGCGTGATCCTGCCCCCGCTACGTTGGCCTCCAGAGCATCAGTAAGAAATGCACCCAAATATATCTGAATATGTATATATCTCTTTGAACCAGACTTAGGTGCTCGCTGTGGGTGATCTCAAATCGAACATCGACATAGAAAATGTTTCCTTGGCCATTTTGTGTCTTCGTCTGATCATGTCTTCACTTCTTCATACACCAACACGGATAGCGGGCACGGTGTCTCGCCTGACATGTCAACTGCGGACTCCATCAGCTCGTTCAATGGCTAGAGTAGCACGAGGCCGGCCACCTGCCATTGAAGAGGACACTGATCAGCTATTCACTCAGCGACTATCGCTTGCACCTGGCGAGCGCTTCCCTTCATTGCATTCACCACACCCCATTCTTGATGCCTGGAGCACCAACCAGAGAGATAATGCTGAATCCGACCTCGACAAACTCTTCACCTGCGATCCTGACATCAAATTCCTCAACTCTCCGCCTCCCTTCCCTCACTTGGCCGACTCGAACGAACGCGAGGTCCGAACGAAACCGGAGATCGCTCCACGGGATAAGCACATGTATGTGCTCATACGAAAGCGCGTCGTGCATCAGAGTGGGAAGGGAAAAATTGCAAGCCAATATGTTGGCGTCGTTGTTGGAAATGGCAGAGGCATCGTCGGGTTCGGGGATGCTAAGTCGGAGAATTTTAACGCAGCGATGACAAAAGCAGAAGCGAACGCGATCAAGAATTGCGATTATGTGGACTTGTTCGAAGGACGGACAATATGGACGGACATGTCGATCAAATTTGGAAGCACAAAATTGGAATTGAGGCCCAGACCCCGTGGGTTTGGGTTGATGTGCAATCCTTATGTTCATCAGGTGAGTGCAGAATCTTTCATTGCTAATGCACTGTCAGGGAGCCTTTATGTTCTCTGTTCATTTTGCTAGGTCTGCAAAGCTGCTGGTATCAAAGATATCTCCGCAAAAGTCCACGGTTCTCGTAACCCAATGGCAATCATCAAAGCGTCCCTCATGCTTCTTCACCCTGGCGGCGCCCCTCTAGCTATGGGTGATGGCATCGGTGGAAGACTGCGCCGTGAGTATAAGAAGCAGGGTATTAAGTCACAGTCGACCATGGAGCGGGAGAGGGGACGGGCGTTCATGGAGGGCGGGTCTTGGATTTGAGGTAATGGTGAGTGGCTTGTAAGGCTTATTAGATGTCTACGATATGTGCAATTTCTGATGTAATCTCTTTGTCAGCAGATTTCGTAGTACATCGCTGCCTATACACACTGTCCGTTACCCCAGCATGTGCTATATCATTCCCGAGTCGAAAGGGGAAGTAACGAAGTCGCATCGTTTCCACAAATCATCACCCGATGCCATCCTACCCGCGACATGCGTACAGGAGCACCTGGAAAGAAAGTATCATATAGCCTCATTCTTTGGACTTGATTTAATGAATACTAATTCCTTATTATACCAAACGCTTAAACCCCTGCTTCAAACAACCAATCGCCTAGCTGTGCTCTGCTTTTATCACCACATTCCCCCCATATGTGGCTCATCAAACGCCGGTGTATCACTTGCGTCTGCACCGGACTTGAACTTGTACTCCAGGATGGCGTGCGTTGTAGAGCACCATCGCTTCCCAAAGTAGTCCTTCCCTGTCACCGCGGTCCTCGGCCAATACGTGGCGGAGTCTTCTTCATCTTCTTCGTCAAGTTCATCATAGTCGTGGTGATTTCTGGATTATTCCCATAGAATGTACACAATTGACGGTAATGCATGAGTCAGCAGATTGGTTGTCTGGCAGAGCAAGCGCTAACGAAGGAACTCACCCCATCCGATCTTCGTTCAAATTCTGTCCAGAGATGAATAATGTCCGAGTGGCGTCATGCCATGCTAAATCTTGGACGGTCAATGTCCCGGCTGAAAGCTCGTAGAGACACGTCTTGGTGCGCCGGATATCCCACGCTCTGACCGCCTCGTCCTTCCCACCAGTAAAAATGATCGGGAATTGACCATGACCAAAGGACGCGATAGCGCATGAGGTCACGTCCCTCGAATGTCCTTCGAGGACGATCTGAGGGAGCGGGCCATTACGAAGGTCAAAGATGCGTGTGATTGGATCCGAACCGGCTGCAACGAAGTTGTCCGGCATTTCCTAGGAGGAATGGATCGGGTTGAGATTCCGGATCTAACTGGGGGTCAAAAAACGGGAGTGGTTCGTCGTTCCTGCATACCTCGTGCGTCTTGATGCTTTCAATATTAGCACCCAAACCCAGCCCAACGACGGTGGCACCAGCTTCAGGGCGAGCGATGTCAAAGATACGCACGCCTAGCAAGTCTTCAGGCTCCATTCCACCGCCGCTCAACGCCTTGGTTCCAAGGAATCTCGAGGTGTTGGGGACGTTGACCAGATTTCCAAGCGGACCCTTGAGGCTCGGAACAGTAAATGTAGAGTCGGGAGCCTGGCCACGCGACATCTCAACGTCGTCATCACCATCTAACCATCCAAGATGATCGTCGTCGATGAGGCCGCCGAATGCTGGCTTGGTCGAAGCCTACGTTTCATTCGAAGACGAACACATAAAAGGTCAGACCGAGGCAAAATCTATCCATTATCCGTGAGGAAGCTGGGCTCACCTTGCTGATGGATGGTAGGTGGGTTTCCAACGTCGCGCGATTCCAGCACGCAAACGTACCCGACGCATTGGCCCGGAAGATCTTCTTATCGTGAATGCCGAACATGCCTTGGTCATATCCGTCGCGACAGCTTAATGTATGCTTCAGCTTCCCGGTCGTTAGATCAAACGCTTTGATCCGTTCATCCCCTGAACCCCATATCGCGTACGAGTCAACGAGAAGATTCCCAAAGGGACCCGCAAAGCCGGTTTTGAGGTTAGATTGCTTCAAGATCTGTTCAGCATCATCGGAAGTGGCAGGGATACTGAAACGTGATGCGCGCGATTCTCGCTCCTTCCACCCACCCGCCCCGGCGACCACGAGGACGTCTCCTCCGACCGCCATCCCCCAAGGGTTCGCAATATTATGTGTTCGCAAGAGAGCCGATGCTTGGATGATTGGAAGGATGGCACGCCTCGTCCCGGCCGGAACAGAGCTGAGGGTTGATTGGACTGCCTCTTCATTGTATTCCTTGGTGAAGCGTGAGAGTCGTGTGGTATGAGGACTCGGTCGGGCAGTGGCCGACCATGGTTGGGGCGCGACTCCTTTGTCGAGCATGATCTCCTTGATGGTCTTACCGGTCCTCGCTTGAACATCTGCTGCGAACATATTAAGCTATGCCCAGTTGAATCAGTCCGCTTATGTGACACTAGTTGATGACGTCGCCAAACTCACCATTGCCTCCAAGCCATTCAGCATCCCCGCTCCAGACCCTAGAGGCGCCGCCTTCTTGCTCTTGATGTATTGGCCTGATGATGTGGGAGCGCCAAAGACACCTATAGTATCGGTGTAATTTGACTCGTAGACCTCGCTGCAGAGCGAAGAGATTGTTTCATCTGTGGTATTGAGGAACATGCGCCATTCCTCCTCAGAGATCCCGCCGGCGCTTTTGGAGCCTTCTGCACTTCGGAGGACTCCCACTATTTGCTCTAGCTTCTCTAAGTATGTTTTTGCTGGATCATTCGACTCGTCCTCTTCGTCGATTTCGGGGACAGTTGACGCGTCTGTCAGCTGCCCAATCAGCTGGGCGTAGTTCAGCGGGCTTGTGCTGGTAGACATGATGACTGTTTCACAGGGAAAAAAATTCTATTCAGTGAATCAGGTGAATCGTGTGGGATATAACAAGAGAAGCTCACCAGGTTGTAGGAGACTAGAACGTTGCAACTTGCGAGAAACGTTGCGTTAATACGTCAGGCGGCTTCTACTATACAATCACAAACTCCTGTTCGTATTTCAAATAAAAAAGATCTGTGGTAGGCTTCGTGATCATTCCAATCTTCTTGAAGGCGGGAGGTATAAGAATTTGAAGATGGGCCTTGCCTCCTTGTGACGCGGGTGCCCCATTAGCACCTCTAGCTTACACTTCTGACTTCACCTAGCCGCCCGTAACTTATTACGCAGGAGTTCCTGCGACCTGGAAACCACGAGGTCATCAAAGGATGAGGTATCAACCTTAACGCTGTTCGCTGGATACTCTCGCGCTCACAGCCCAGTGAGGACGCTCTGCCGACTGCCATGAAATGCGGTGACACGACGCGAAGACTAAACCAGTCCTCATAAACATCAGTTATCGGGTATAGGGAATGACAAGATGCCTTCAAATCTGTAACAATTAAAGGTTGACAGTTCGGCGGGGCCTCCGACAGGCGAGAAACGCGTTGTGCTATACCACGTTTATAATATTACGCAGCGCTGGGAGTGGTACGATATATCAATCATAGTTTATCAAATATATAAAGATGCTGAAAAGCGGCGTACTGGCAAATGCGTTCGCTTTTTCCGACCCGGAGGCGAGAGTTTGGCGAACTCTCTCTCCACCTCGTCAGCCATCTCCTGTATATCTGCCATTGTTAGTTGTTGCGCTCTGGGAGGAGGACAAGGGCCGAGAATCCCAGCGTTTAGA